TGGCGAATGGTTAGTGGGGAAAGATGAGATTTAAAATTTTCTTTTTGGAAATCTGGATTCATAAAACATTAGGAATTTGGATTTTTAAAAAAAGTTATGTATTTGGTACAGGGTCCCGTTATGCTGCTTCAGACTCTTCATGGTCCTCCTGTTTTAGTCAACCCAAGAGCTGAGATTTCAGGTATATGCCACCATGCCTAGTCTCTGTGGCCGACTTGGTGTGCCTGGGTCAGGGCCAGCATGGCATTTGGATCACTGAGAGTCCAAGCTGTGTAGTGAGATCCTGTACCAAATACATTTAAAAAAAAAAATTGAAGGGCGTGCCAAATAGCTCAGCAGATTAAAGCACTTTTTGATCCCTGGGTCTGTCTTTCTGGCCCCGCCCCTGGGGCATGCTGAGATGGCAGTTGAGACTGGGTGTGCTGGCACACGCCTGTAATCCCAGCTCTTGGGAGGCTTTGAACAGGCAAATCACTACAAGTCCAGTCTAGTAGTGAGACCGTGTAAGCCCTGTAGATCCTTACTTTAAAAAAAAAAAAAAAAAAAAAAAAAAAAAAAAATCTGGTACAAATTCTGATATAAATTAGTTACCCGATCATCTTAGCTATCCTGCTTATATACTTATATGATTTTTTCCTCCTTTTTTCCCCTTTTCTCTGTTGTTTGTTCTTTATGTTCAGTCCTTACTTTTGGTTCCTCAGATCTCAAAAATGGAATTGTTTGTATTCTGTGATTTACTGCCCCCCATATTGTTTTCCACAGTACTTGACAGTGTTCCCACTGGCAGTGAGTGATAAGGTTTCTAGTTTCTCTACATCTTTGTGAGCCAGTTTTAATATTGAGGGGACGTAGGAGATTCTAAGGGTCGGTAATAGTCATCCTATGGATGTGAAGTAATTTTGATTTGTTGTCCTTAGGTATATTGAGCATCTTTTCAGGGGCTTATTGGCCATTTCTCTACAGTATCTTATTTGTAGAAATGTCTATTTTTTACTTTTGTCCATTTTTAAATAGGGGTGGGAATTCTTGATTTTGAGTTGTAAGAGGGTTCTTTGGTTGGTTGATTGGTTTGGTTTGTTTGGTCTTGGTCTTTTGTCTTTCTCAGACAGTCTTGCTATGCTGTTCAGGCTGGCCTTGAGCTCACTTTGTAGCCCAGGCTGGTCTCAAACTCACAACAGCACTTAGCCTCTTGAGTGCTAAGATTACAGGTGTGCCCCATCATGCCCAACCAGGAGTTCTATATACTGGATATTAGCCCCTTTTCAGAGACAAGATTTATAAGTATTTGTCTCATTTTTTAATCATTCATTCATTTATTTGGCACAGGGTCTCGTTACGCAGTTCCGTGTGTGCCACCTTGTGCAGTTTCGGTGGCCTGCACAGCGGGCCTCAGGTTCCTGGGCCTGCATGGCATGTGGTACCAGGTATGGAACACGAGTTCTTGAGCTTGCCAGGCAGGTGCTTAGACCGTGGAGCATCTCCCCACCCCTTTTCTCTCATTTTATGTGTTGACTTTTCACTGTTTATAGTGTCTTTGTTGCATAAAGTTTTATTTTGATTTAAATTATTTGTTTTATTGCTCATATTTTTGGTATCACAGTATCTGCCATCAACACTAATTAATTGCAGAATCATGAGGCTGTGCTCAGAAGCTTCCAAGTTCATTACTGGCTTGAAAGTTTTAAATTTTATCATTTACAACAGTACTTTGTAGTTGTTTGTCTTGAATTGACAGGCTCTGTTCAATGATTTTTGAAAATATATCTAACATTCCTCTGATTTATGAGTAAGGATTGTGTGGGAATCCTTCTATGTAAAAACTAATTTGTGAAAAATAGCTGGTGATTCAGCTGGCAGCATGTTCAAGGGTTGTCTTTTGAGAACTGCAGGCCTTGGGGAAAAGGTTGAAGATCCATGTTCCAGAATGGTGACAGTGGCTACACCAGGTTCAAGAATGGCACTGGCACAAAGAATTTATTCCTCAGAATCTGGGTCAGAGTGCTTGGCAATCCAGGCACTTGACTCTTATAGCCAATAGAGAAGAAAGCCTGGCTACTGCTCCAGCTGGCAGCAGACCTTGGCATCATCCACGTGGCACTGGTTTTAGGTGCATGAAGAATGCAGGAGTTCTGAGATTAAGAAGGCTTCCAGCCTTGATTTCAGAAGTCCTGGGAGGCCAGGAAGTGTGCCCTTAGGAGGGCAGTGTGTAAAACTGTGCGTGAGAAGCCTATTACTGGAAACCCCCAAAATTTGGAAAAGCTAGGAATATGGATCATCTAAAGGAAACTGCAAGGGAAGGGGTCAAAGCTGGCATAAGATAGAAGCCATGGGAGCTACCACCCCAAGTGCCATAGGGACAGAGCCGTGTAAGGGCTTTGGAGCTCAACTCATCACAGATTGCTTCAGATGTTCCCTGTGGAACTATAGGATTTAATGTTTGCCCTGCTGGATTTTGGAATTGTGTTGGTTCCAATACTTTGTATTCCTCTGTAGTTTGCAACTTTTAGAATGGTAATGTTTATCTTGTGCCTTTGAATGCTGGAAGTGTTTAACTTACCTTTTGCACAGGGGCTCATAGTATAGAGTTTGCTTGGATCTTGTAAGAGACTTGGGACTTGGACTTTTCAGCAATGCCGAAACCGTTAGGACTTCGGCAACGGTTAGAGATGGACTAACATGCCCTTTTCACAAAGGGATGTGCATGAGTCTTTGGGAGGTTCAGTGGCGGAATTATGGTTTATGTCTGGTTGTCCTCACAAAGCCTCATGCAGTCTTGTATTTTTTTATTTATTTTATTTTATTTTATTAATTGTTTTTGGTGGTACCAGGGATCAAACTCAGGACCTTAGTCTTGTGTTGTATGTTAAGAGTGGGGCCAGGGAGATGATTCAGTGGAATAAGCACTTCCCTGGCAAGCCCAAGGGCCTGAGTTCAATCCCCAGTTCCGCAAAAAAAAAAAAAAAAAAAAAAGAGTAGTTGCTGAAAGAAATGAGAAGACCTGATGAATACAGCATCAGAGGTCTCACTGAGATTATTCTCTCTCCAAGTGAGCCCAGAGCTTCAGAAGCATCTCACATTTTTTGAGGGCTAACGGCAGGCTAAGGAATGTACGTAATTAAGTGACTACAAACTACTATCTCTGTTGACTTCTACCATTTGCCTAACACTAGGTCCACACAAATGCTAGCTGATAACATCCCAAGGGAGGGATCAAAGAACAGGGCACTAGAAGAAGCTGTTATCTGCAGCCTTGAATCGCAGCTTTCTGAGAATTTATATGAGACAGCACCTCTCCCTGGCTCTTTCTATTGCTCCCTGCTCCCTTGGTACAGTAGGCTTTTTATTTCATATCTATATTTCTATAGTCTTGTGGCGGACTTCTAGAGTCTGTGATTAACTCATGATCCTGTGGGATTATGGGTATGAGTGCTACTGGAATTACTGGTCTGAGTACTGCTGGTATTATGGGTGTGAGTACTACACTCAACCTGGGGTGTATAGTCTGAGGGCAGCTAAAGGGAGACAGTCTTGCTGTCTGTAACCATTATTGGTGCTACTCTTTGTTTTGCTCCTTGCTCTTTGCCTCTGCCATGAATGGTTGCTCTCTGCTGTGTGCCACCCTGCTTTGGAGCCTGCTGAGCATAGACTGAAACCTCCACTGACTGTGAGCTAAATAAACCCTTCCTTTCATTTTGGGGAAAAAAAAAATGCATACAGCAGGTCTTTTTTATATATCTCTGAGTTTTGTTACATGGAATGTGAAAATATGTAGAATGCAATTAGTAATTACTACATTTTAAGTAAAACAAACTGGGTTTGTTACTGTAAAAAAATTAATGAGTACTTTTAGTAGCTTTGCGCTACTACTCCTTTGGTTAGCACTGCAGTGCAATTAGTTTTATCCACCACTGCAGTGAATACAATGGCGCAGTGAAAAAGTCAACTCTTATGACAGAGGGTTTGCTTTTTTTTTTTTTTTTTTCTTTTTTTCTTTTTTTTTAACCACAGTTTGTAAACTATTATTCTAGTGTTCATAGAGTTGGTGTAGGGGACAAAAGAGTCACTTGGTGTAATTATATTTAAGTAGAGTCTGTAGAAGGGGTTGACATTCCTGACTCTGGTATCTCCTGAAATTTATGCTGAAATATTCATATAGGTGTGATCACAAAATTTCCTCATACATTAGTAGTGAAATGTGAGGGTGAAGTTCAGAAAGGCATTATTTTGAGTGAATGATGATGTGAAAAGGAGATAAAACAATTAGGTATTTTTATTATGTCAAACTGGTTAGGTTCTTGTCTATGAGATCCTGAGAATATTCACTGCAAAGAAAGAAAAAGGGTGATAACTCAAGTTTATGCCATTATTTTAACAGCTGTAAGACAAGAAGTTTTACCTAGTCCCTGTAAACATTGTACACTTGGATATTGAAACAAAGTGTGGATTGTTTTCTGATTTTCCTTAAATGAATCAGTAACAACTCTTTAAATTTATTATAAGAGATAGAGTCAAAGTTTAATATTCTTAGAATGCTAAGAAAGGAGGAGCCGGGGAAATGGCTCAGTGGAATAAGCGCTTCCCTGGCAAGTGCAAGGGCCTAAGTTCAATCCTCCGGTTCCGCAAAATAAAAAAAACACACACACACACACACACACACACACACACACACACACACACACACACACAAACCCAAAATGCTAAGAAAGGGACCTCTGTGTAGGCTTTCAGACAGAAATACTTCATTTAAAAGATTTAATCAGATTTTGATTTTCAGTCACAATAGTTGGAGGCATGTGATTGAGTTGGAGCTTGTGAACATTTTGATTGTGTATGATGCATACTCTTGAACAAAAGCATTCTCACTTTTGTTTATACTATGTTTTAGCTTCATTGTGGGTTTCTGGATTTGTGCGTTATGTTCAAGAATTATAAATATCTTGCCACATGATATGTTAAAATCATATTATATATATATATGTATATATATATTTTGTTTATAGGATTCAGTGGTCCCAATTTAAAGGCTATTTTATATTCAAACTGGAGAAAGTGATGGATGATTTCAGAACTTCAGCTCCTGAACCAAGAGGTCCTCCAAATCCTAATGTAGAATATATTCCCTTTGATGAGATGAAGGAAAGAATACTGAAAATTGTCACTGGATTTAATGGGTATGTATTTACACTATTTTAAATATTTTTCCTTCCTTTTGCTGATTATTAAAATAAATTTGATTTTAGTTACAGTATTTCTTGATCATTAATTTACAAGCATTGTAAAATATTTACAGCTGTTTTAAAAAAGCATGAGCCTTCTTAATGTGTGAGTGATATTTAGACTACATAGCTATGACAACAAAGTCATCAGGAAGTATTTTGATGTTCTTTATCATTGTATATTTGTTATTGTCTTTATATGTGTTGTAGAATTTGTATATCATTGTTTTAAATCATATTTTAAAATGAAAAAAAAAGTTTTAGAAAATACTGTTTAGTTTTAGAAATTTTCAGTTCCCCCCCAAGAAGTAATCATTTTAAGTTCTTTATAAAACATGAAAAACAAAAAAGACTTTCTGCACTAAAATAAAAGTGATCTTTCAAAAAATGTGTTGTGCCTGACATTTTACATTCTTCATAGAAATTTGTATATTTAGACTTTTGAAATTGAACTGTTCAGTGTTTTGTTGGGCATTAGCAATTTGGGGGTGGAATGACAGTTAATTTATATTAACCAAAAATTCCTATTTAGAGGTAGGTTTTTACTTGCATGAATTTCAGTTGTGTATAATTTTAGGTAATGATCTTTTAAGTTGTTGAATCACATTGGATTTGAAGTACAATAGTGTAGTAGTCTTTGTTAAGTGTAATATTCCTCTTTTTATATTCAACAGTTTTGCTTAAAATGTCAGATGCTTACACTTTGACTTTATGTCTCTTCCTAAAATATCTGTGTCTGTGAAGGGGTGTTAAGTTGTCTTTGGAGTTTATCTACTGTAGTTTTCTCTGCAACTTTAAAGGCATGAAAGAGGCTTAGTTTTGGTGTTCAAGTTGTTTAATCATGTGGATATATATCCTTTTTTAAAACATTTTTTAAAAACATTCCCAGAAGATGCCCCATGTTATATTAAAAGTATGTTGTAGAAGAAAAACTCTGAATGTGTTCAAAATGAGAATATATATACACAAAGACATTATTAGTGACTCCTCTTTGCTTAAATTGAACTGTTGTAATTCGAAAAATAACAACTGTCAGTGAAACAAGTCATATTGTACAGTACTTTTGTGATCACTAAGCTAATTGTGTTAATTATTAATAATGAATTTTTAAAAACTTTTTAAAGTTACTTTGGACTAAATATATGACTAGGTTATTGGATAAATATTTGTAATTTCTTAACCCAGGCAGTAGGTAATTCATCTAGTTGAAAATGATTTGAACAGTTACTAAATGCTTGAGCATATGTAAACAATTTGTTTTTCATCTTTGATCCATAAATATTTTGAAATTATATTTTCAATTTGATTTTTGGAGTAACAGTTTATGAATCATTTATCCTAATCAGGCAAAATTTAAGTCTTATTAGTCAGTGACACATAAATAATTTTCATTTGTAATTGTGTTTTTATGTATAGTAATATGTCTAAACATGTTCACTGTCTTTCTGATTTTGTTTTGAATGTGTATGTTTTTATTTTTTTATTTTCTTTTTTTTAAAATTATTTATTTATTACATTTATTTATTGTGTGTGTGTGTGGCCAGCTCAGCCCACCAGGGCCCGGGGCTGGCTGGCATGTGGTGCTGGGGGATCGAACTGCGGTCCCTGTGCTTTGCCAAGCTTGTTTCAAGTAGGTGCTTTAGACCACTGAGCCATCTCTCCAGCCCATGTGTATGTTTTTAAAAACTGAGAATTTTGTACTTTTTCTTTGAAGTTATCATTTCTAGTACATTTCTCCCGTTTACAATAACTTAAGTGTTCATGTGTTAGAAGTATTCTCAAATATTATGGAAGCATGCAAAATAATGTAGAATCATGTTAAATGTTAGTTGTAGTTTTCTTTTAGAAGAATTTTGACATCTTTATAATCAGTACATAAAAAATACGTGGTTTGTATGCCTAAAGAGGTTACAGTTTATATGCTTCTGTCTTTATTGATAGTGGGCCTTTATTGGTTGGCTATTACTGGCATGGCTTACAGAGAACATCCTTGTATATATTTTCTTTTGAATGTCGTATTGAATATGTGCATAATTGCTGCTTTATGTAATTTGCATCAGTATCACTGCTAAAGAGTGTGCACAATTAAAAATCTGAATTTATCCATTTCATAAAATGTTTGTTTATGCTTCTACATGTATGTATTAAGTGCAGGTGTTGCAGTTCATTATATCTGTGTTTTTTGATTTATTTCTTTGATTATAAGTGATGGAGTTTGTGTTATCCCTTTTATGAATTTTTTATAATCTCTTTTTGGTCTTATTACCTTGCTGTTTTTCTTATTGTTAATTTTTTTTTGTTTGTTTCTTTAGTCTATTAGGCTGTTTATTATTTTGTACCGTAAAACCTAGCCATTTTCTAAATTGTATATATTGTTAGATCATAGTGTTTTCCTCTTTGAATTAAATATATAAATTCTATTGTTTGCTTGACACCCCCCCCCCCCAACTACAAACTTCTAGAGAACAGGGCTGTCATTTCTAAACAAGGTCCAGCAAAGTACTTGAACGTAGTTGCTTCTCCAGCAAGTATAGAAAAGATGCACGGAAGCCAGAGAGCAACATGGAAAAGTATTGTCTGCATTTTTTTTTTTTTTTTTTTTTAACCAGGACATGGAAAAAATTACGCAATTGAATGCTTCAGTAGTTTTACTTTTAGAGGTCATTTTCTTGTCTTTTAAGAATTGCTTTTGAATTTCTAAAATTTTATAGAAGATGGTGGGATATAGGTACACTTTGGTATGAAAATTAGTTTCTTAGGTGAAAAAGCATCAAAAATTAAAACTTAACACACACACACCCCCCCTACACACACCCAGGGATTGAACTCAGGACCCTATGCTTACCAGGCAGGTGCTTAAAACTGAACTTTTAAATAAAAGAATACATTAAAAATATTTATTGCTATTTTATGTTTTCTGCTTGGGATTATAATGAAGAATATAAATTAAACAGCGATTTATAAAAATCCTCTTCCTACTTGCTGGTAGCTAATCATTTTACAGTGGAATTTTAAAGATACAGAGAACGTACGTTACATTCCTAAGCAGTTAAGGAGAAATCATATAGGGCTTGGCGAGATAGCTCAGCAGTCTAAAGAGCCTGCTTAGGCAAGCTTAGGCAGTCTTGGGATTGTAGTTGGATCCTGGCACCATATGCCCCACCAGCCCCAACCCTCAGGGTTGGCTGAACGGGCCAAAAACAAAAGAATAGTGAATACAGATGTTAAGTTGACTGGTTCAGTGCTACTTCTCACTTGACAGTGTTGTTTACTTGTAAGACTTTTTTGAAATAGGGAATTTCACTATTGATACTAAACTAATTTCACTATTAAGTATTAAATATGGAGTATTGCTCCGTATTTGTGAGGTCAGGAAAAAAAGCACAACATGTATGTCATTTGTAGGAGCAATATAGTTAGCTGAGAGATGAGTACTGTTTATCTTTTATCATTAAAGTCCTGTCAGTTTTCTGCTCTGAATTTGCTAGAATCTATATGATTAGTTTCCTTGTTTCTGAAAATGTTTCACATGATTGTTTTAATTATGTGTGCACATACTTTTGACTCTTCATTTTGTACCTGAGAGGGTGCCATATTATACTTTAAAAAATGTATGAGCGTTTATGTGTTTCATAGTTTAAAATCATACCTTTTAATTTTATGTTTGTTTTACAGTTAGCTCCAGACATTTCAGCAGCTGAAGGACTGGTTCTTTTTTTTCCTCCTTGTATTTTTAGGGAAGGGTTTACAGGGTATTCAGGGTCTCACTACTAGATCAGACTCTAGTGATCTGCCTGTTTATAGCCTCCCAAGAGCTGGGATTACAGGAGCGCACCACCATGCCCAGTCTCAATTGCTGTCTCAGTGCACCTTGGGGGTGGGCCTGGCATGGCAGGCCCAGCGATCAAACCCCCTGCTCCTGTGCCTGCTTCCAGGCACTTTAATATGCTGAGCTATTTGGCCAGCCCCAAGATTCTGTTTCTTTTGAGGGATGGGTGGCACTGAGGATCAAACTCAGGACCTTGTGCTTGCCAGGCAAGCACTTATTATTATTACACTGAGCTATCTACCAGCAAGGACTGGTTCTTAATCTTTTATGTGACTCCTTTGACAATCTTGTTTACTAAGTTGTCTGCTTATTAGAGATAGAGTTTTGTGGATTGAGTAATTCTACTGAATGTACAGTATTGTTTGCTTTATTCTTTTCAATCATATAATTATTTGAGAATTGATTGTCATTATTTTATCTCAACTTTTTTCCCCACTTTGTCCAGTAAAAATATAATTTGATGTGTTACTCTAATAAATTTTCTGTGTGTGGTACAGGAATTGCACCAGTGTTTCACGAGTGCTAAGCAAGTACTCTTGTCACTGAGCTCCACCTGCAGCCTAATCACATTCTTCAAATTGAAAAGCAAAAATACATCTAACAGAAAGCTGATTTTGTATTTATTTGATTAAAAATAAAATGAGAGTAGTACAAGCACACTGAATTAAAATGGGTATGCTTGCTTGCTGTTTTAGGGGGTGGGAGAGAGTTGCTATGAAGTTCAGCCAGGTCTTAAACATACGTTTTAGCCCAGGTGGGCCTTGAACTCAGAGCCTGCCTTAGCCTCCCAACTGCTAGAATTACAGTTGTGTGTCTGGCTGCTTAAAAATCTTTGACAAGTACTATAAATTAATTTTGGGGTGATGACTGATCCGAACATGATATTTGTGGCCTTGGGGTTATTGAAAGAGGTTAGTTTCTTTATTCTCTTAATTTTTAAAATCTCTCTGTCTGTCTGTCTGTCTCTCTCTGTCTGTCTGTCTCTGTCTGTCTGTCTGTCTGTCTGTCTGTCTGTCTGTCTGTCTGTCTCTCTGTCTCTGTCTCTCTGTCTTTTTTTCTCTTTTCTTTCTTCACAGCTGGGAATTGAACTCAGGCCTTTGCGCTTGCCAGGCAATCGCTTATTCTA